GAAACCATGAGGTCACTCAGCAGAGACGGAAGGTGTAGATTCCACCTAAAAATCTCCAATGCGTGGAATTTTTTAAATTATTAGATGGCTTATTTTGGCGAGAAATAGTTTGACGGCCTGATGAACTAGATTACTTCAGATGTAAGAGGTTACACTAATTTACGAAGTCCATGATTTTGAACAGAATACTTATTTTGTCTTTACAATACAGATTGAAACAAAGACCGCCCATAAGTCGCATTACAAATACAACATTTATTCGGTCAACATTCTTGAGAAGCGCAATTTTCTCTGTTCGTTGCAAACAACAAACTGACACGCCCTGAGGGTATATGTATTGTTAATATAATGTTTTGTTTAACACACAAATTGCGAAGTAATACGAGCAGCTGAATAAGAGTAGGCGGTTGTTCGGATTTTCGCAATAAAAGGGATAAGCGCTATTATTTGACCTATAAAGCTCCGAAGTTGGTTTTGAATAAAACTCATGACGTAAAATGGTCGTAGATAAAAAGTGGCTAGGTGATATGAACTACTTTTGGGCTTATCTTATAATAACTTACGCGATGAGTATTCACCGTGTTCCGACAAAGTTGGGTGAGTCCGTGACGATGTTACCATGACAATGATTCACAAACGAACAATGGTAAATTTCAATCGCCATCTGGCAGCTCATTTTCCAAGTCTGTTCATATCATAAAATGTTTTAAGTAGCATAGAGGGAGGGATACGTTATGATTATTAGATTTCTTTGGTCTTGAAGCTTGTCAGCGCTTGATTGCGTGTGTAAATCACGTGACGAAAGACGAGTGGCACTATATCTTGTCTAAGTGCAACTTAATCGCACAGTTGATCAGCCAATCCTGGCCAAAATGTTCATTATTCAGCTGTGATCCGGGTGGTTGGAAGTTCACATCTCCTAGGATGCTCACAAGATGTGCACTGTTGACGATTCTGTGGTGAACTGTAGCAGAATGAAGTATCAGTAGGGCAAACAATGCACTTAGTAGTTAAAACATACACAAAATAGGGTAGATTGCATTGACCATTTAAAAGTAGTCAGGAGATGTAGGTAATGCAGGGCTGAATAAGTGGATTTGCGACTCAAAATGTTCTTTTCGGAGTTCAGCAAAGCGATATATTCGGTGACAAAGAGAGAGAAGTAAATTCATAGACAGAGCTCAAGTTAATTAGAATTATCTCACTCATTCTTCCTCGAAATTCACCGAAAACTGAACAGGTGGTTCAGTAACTTCAAGGATGACACGAAACCCTTGGTCGTTACTGGAACTAGTTCTGGATTGCAAATTTGTACAAATCTGCCGGCCAACGAATGAATCTGAGACATTTTTCCTTTACAGAATGGTCGTTCATTGCATGGACGTCCTCAAAAAACGACTGACCTGCACCGTTCTTCTGACTGATCACCTGCGTTACTCTCCGGAAGATAACTGATGTCTTTCAATCATGCGGCGACAAACTGAGGTTGATGTACGTGCTCACCGAAATCTATGATGAAGTTGTTCAGTTCCGTTGGGAAAACATTCCTTGTTAGCAGTGTGAGGGGACATGGAAATTTAGACTGAGATTTCATTCAGTAAAAGAAGCCCATCTGTTTTAAAAGCCGAGAAAAGCTTCACAGATCTTTCATCTTTATTAATAAAAGTCATCAACGGTGCGTATTTCGTGAAACTCCATGAAACCTTCAACACAAACCCTTCCGACTGTGTAATTTAAAATTTAAACGTTTAAAACTTGCTCACAAACAGACGATCAGCAGTGTGATTATTTCGCAATTGGATAGGATAAGAAGATTTTAATTTTTTTTACTGAAATGCCTTGGAAAACAGGCCTCAGTGGATACCTTCTGGTTTCGCAAATTACTAATTCCTTCCAGGAAGTGAATGTTATTATGAAAGCACTTGACGCCGTTTTCATTGCGTTGCAAGCTGAGTTCATGCTATGGGCGCAAGGGATTTGGCAGAGTATCTTGGAAACCTCGTCTGAAATAGACCTTTGACCTGACTGACGAGGTAGTCTTGGATATCTCCTGGTTTAACAAGTATCGGTGAAAATACAGAGAAAGGTTAATTCATCTGAAGCGTAGAATGAATTAGACCATTTCAGTTCAATGTTACGTTTTTAATTTTCAACAGATTTTTTTCTTTTTTAAAAGTACGACCTTGTAACAAATTACTGTGTTTATTGTAATATACACCAGTTTAATTACATAGAAGCACATACAACAAATACATACATTTGAAAACCAATATGTTTACCCGGAGCTCAACTAAAATTTGGCTGAGTCAACTAAATTTATTGTATAAAGACCATTTTAAGTTTCGCTTTGTGCGGAAATTTAGGGGTTGCACCTTTATGAGAAGTCTCAAGAAGTGTGAGGCACGTTGTGAGTTGTCAGTTTTAAGCAACCTTATAAATGATACTTTCCCAAGCAAAATAAATCCCTTTCCATGGAACAAGGACATAAAACCATTGGGTTTACATAGCTGTGCTAATAGGCTTGAAAACCACGAGCGCTTGCTTCAGAGGAAATGAAAAATTCTGTGACGAGCTCGGGATAGGTGTTGGAAACAATCGGATGCGAAGAAAAATCCATTATTCTGGTTGTAAAAGCACACACAACGGTTCTTCTTGGCTGCATTTCAAAAAGATGCCATCGTACTAGCAAAACATTCAGGTAGCGTGCTGATATTGAGGCTTTTATCTGCAGGACCAAGCCACACATGGTTTCTTTCCAACTTGCATTGAGGTGACAGTAACATACTTAACTGCATCAGTTCTTGTATAGTTGTTTTCGGCTGCAGTTTAACATAATAACACGGCACTTGTCAGCTTAGACTTCATGATCTTGAGCGTACAGAAGAAGCGTGCAACGGTGGTGATTACGAATGGACTGGGAAATCGCACGTTTATGCAAAGCAGCGCTTTCTTTTTCACATGACCATACGTTTGACACCAAAAAGATTGATGGCTCATTATTGACAAGCAGAAAGAACATCGCTCCTTACTCCTCCCTTGAGTATCAGCCTCCTCTTCAGTAGGTCAAATATTTATAATGCTTATTATAAATTTGACTAGGTGATTCCTCACCCTTTTCAGTCCCTATGTGTTTACTTTTCCCAATGGTATTCATAACAATTTTTCCCTAAATTCTTCAGATATTAATTCCGCACCAGGGGTGCGAAACATTCCACTCGCAACGGCCTGAATAAATCCTGCTGCTTTGTACTTCAGTATTTGGACACATGAACTAGTAAAAGTATCGCACATCTTGATTCTTAATTCTCAACTTTCGCATAAACATCCTCATCTGTTGCAGAGGAAACATTGTTTTTTAACCCATTCTCATGACAAGAATTAGCTTTTGTTTAGATTTTGCGGTATATTTGATCCAACTAGCAACAAGCTTTGATCATAGTGCACTCCATAATGGTGGTTTGAGAGTTCAAAACCCTTCTAATAGCCATGTAGAGAGAAATTTGCGAGAAATTCAGTCAGGCCTCTTAGACAATTTACCACTATGGACAACATTCCATACCGCCTAAAGGGTTAAAGAGGAATCCAGAGGCTTTTGACGCTTTCTCTCGGGACGATACATTGTATTAGATTCTGAGGGCATGCTTTTTGTGCACTCAACAAACACTAATATACCGCACACATACATCACACAGAGTTCACATGGTTTGCATTCGGTGATGGGATTTATTAACAAATCGTCCGACGTTTGGAGTGTCTCAACAGCTAGAAAATTGAGGAATCACCCTTTGAGTCGCCTTAGTTGTCCTAACGTAACCTACCAAAATGACTGGAGAGTCCCGGTTTGCTCATCCCACATAAAGATTAAGCTATTATGTGCCTTCAGTGAGAACATCAATAGACTGGTTCTAAGATCCTTACTTATTGAAATCTAAACGATAGTGGTCCAGCAAAGCAGAATGGGGTCCAAGTGTCTACGGAGGCGCGTACGTCATAAATCCAGGACATTTTCGCCAACATCGGGGATGATTCCTTCTCTCAGTTGAATCAACCAAACACCAAAAAATCAATGAGGGTTTCTGAAGAGAGGGATTTAAAAATCTTACCTGGGAGTTTGTCTATTCACAGGAGAAGAATAAAAAGAACAACTAATTTATAGATATACAAACCAATTCACATCAAATCAACGCCTATTTCCCTTTTCCCGCTCCGCAAATCTGCAGTATGTTGAGGTTGAGTAATCAGGATTTTAAAAAGAGTTACGTGTGACTCGTCGATTGGAATCCATGTATTGGGTTAAAACAATTGGTCGTCTTTGACGACGTGCATGTCGTGGCGCTCAAATCTGCGTATCAGCAAGTCGGACAGATGTAGGGTAATCAAACAAAAATACCTATTAGAGAGCTGGATTATTTCTCTTTTTGTCTTGTCAAATTTAGCACATAAAAACCGGGTAGAGCCCGGCTGGCTGCACATGGTCAGACAGCTCATTTCTGATGCTATGAGGCAAACAGGCTCTTAAAATAACCTGTATGTATTTGAGGTTCAATAGGTATTATTTTCATTGTCACATCGTCTTCATGTGGGCGGTCATTTACCTGTCAAACTCAGTTATTCTGGCGAACCGCACCCCATGGGGAAACACGCGACCCAGCATCCGCTCTTATAAAAAGTCATCAGCCTTGCATTCGACGCGCAAGATGAGCGGTATATCACCAGTTGACCAGCTCAGGATAGGCACACGCGAATGATCACTTTCGAGCAAGCGAATGTCTTTATACTCGAGCGTTATGCTCGGTTTACAACTTGAATAATGGCTCAATCATTGTCTAGATTGTGTCGATCAAATAACCGGTCTGTCAAAACTTTGGATCGCTCCACGGATATCTTGGACGTGTTACGCAATCGTTGACTGTTCGTGAGTGATTGTGGGATTTGTAGAATTTGCACTCATTTCACTCTCTTCTGAACAGTCCTCTTTCTGTCTTGACACAATTATTTAGACAGACTTATGCAACAACCAATCATCTGATAAATCCCATCCTTTTATAGATACTCATTTCATCATGGCCTACTCAAATGCTATTGATCATTCTGCGGTCATGCAGCTGCGAATAGCCATGCCACGATTTCGAGTAATCTCAGTCGACTCCGCTACAACGGCTCCTATGAATCAAGCTGATCCAAGTGCAGTAAATGACCATCGATGGTGGAGTAGGTACATTGAAACCAGCAACCACAGATATATGCATTTCATGCCCGGTGCAAGGTTTCGCTTTCACGGTTTCGCTGTGGCTCCAGGAAAACGATATGTTTTCTTCAGTGAAGTGGCCAAGGAAGTAGTGAACAAAGTCAGCTGGTGGTCAGATGAACAAACAAAGGTGAGTTTACACAGTTTAACCCCTAGGCCTGCACACAGGCAAGGGCAGTACATTTTCAGCCGACCGGAAACTTCTTAAGGCTTCCGGTGCTAAAAGGTAAAGATGCCGTGTTTGACTGGAGACCAAATTACGAAAACATCTTTTAATTGCATACCACGATGATCCTACTGACACACGTGACCATGTGATGTGGTTCCCGTGGTTTAAGCATGTGCAGGGCTGTTTGAATGTGGGATAATCACACTACCGAAAACCTCCGCGTGGCCAAACTACTAGCGAAATACTAGCCGAAATACTAATGCACCCGAGCTGCCAGTATTCCAACAGATTATCAACTATTTAGAAAGTCGTGGGTTTGTGAGATGCACTGTGATGATAAGCCCTAGTACGAATGAAGCAGCTGTGCAGTGCCCATTGGTTTTTCAGCATAGACTGGTTTCACTTATATAACGAAATATCCGCTAACATTCTCAAACCTGCTCACATTACAATGGGATGTATTCATGACTCCAGCACACCGAGGTATTCTCAGTCGTCCACAACGCTACTGAGAGTGAGTATATTTACTTTCGTGACTGATTACTTAGAAAGTTTGATAAGCAGCATATTTTGCCTTGTAAGTCTCTACTTAAAATTCATAGTAGTGCAAACCACCCTTGTTTTGGAATGACTACCTTAATCAAAAGGGATGTCTTTTGGGCGGAATTGTTAGAGAGGAGCATATCTATGGATAGACTGTGAGCGGTCGCAGCTTAGTTATATCACTTGACAGCCCCTTCTATATTGCATACGAACCGGTGTGAAGGAAGATTCGTTACACACTGTAACCACAACCTTTTTGTAATATTTTTCGAGGTTGTCTACGCTCGCGTGGCACGGGTATGCACAGGTGACCCTGGTTTCCAAATGTCCAATACTGGTCCAAACTACTTCACATCATTTTTCAAAGCCCGCTTGATTTGTCGCGTACGTGGGTCTCATCAATCTGTCAGTGATAATCCATCAGCCTACAGGTGAGTTCATTTTCGGCCTACCACAAATTTCTTTAAACTGTGCGTGCATCTTGTAATTTCTCTGCAGCTTCGTTCTCAGCTTACTGTTGTTCATCCAATTCCATTCTTTCCAGCCATGATGCTGAATTCAACCACTTGGTTGCGGTGACTCAGTTCCAAGAATCATCTCAGAGTACGTCCGAATCCACAGTTTACGGGCTATTTTCGATGATTGACTCAGGCTCTCCCCCTTCGACACTGAGGAACGTTGAATTGATTGGGCCAATGGCATTGTGTGCCTATCGGCTTTCGGAGGTGGACCGCGTGTTCCGTACGAGTGATCTCATCCAAATACTCCCGCGGCATCCCGAGTCTGGTCCGCCAGCCACCGCGTCTGACCACAATGGAACAAACCTCACTACAACCGCTGAATCTTCTCATGCATTTATTCCATACTGGGGATCTCGCAGTGCATTTAGACGTATCAGGCGTATCCAGGACGCAGGATCAGCAACAATGACTGATGTACGTATTGAGGCTAGCAAAAACTCTTAAGAAAAAAGTCAGATAACTCAAAATGCGACAACTTTTCGATGAGTTATTGACTTTGGTACCTCACTGAGGCCGTCTAATTTCATAAACAGTTCACAACTGCGTAAGTGATTCACATGGAAACGAAATCTGAGTCTTGGGACAGATGGGTATACACACAGAACATCCGAAAAAAAGGGTAATTTATCCAGTTCCCACAATCTAGTGTATTTTTTACGTCAACCTTGCTTTTAGTACGAATATCACTCATATCGGTACGTTTTACAAGATTTCTGCATTCATAATGACTCATGAGGAGCACTACAAACAACAACCGCTTCCTCTTGTAAGGATTCCGCTCTTGTCAGGATTTCATCCTCATTCAAATCACTCAGTGATGTAGTCGGGGCTGTATGCTTTAGTATTCTGGATTTTCGGACCTACATTTTGCAGTCCAATGTAAAATAAGTTTTTCAGAACAAGTTAAACATAAGAATTCATAGGTACTAATTGACTCTGTCCGATGAAACACGGATAAATTTCGGTCGACTTCATCTTCTCTTTCCACACATACTTGTCATCGTCAAAGTGAACTGATGAAGTTGTAGAGGCTTGCAACCTACAGCACTTAAGGGTTTATTTAACTATCCTTGTCCTTGAGTTTGTCGCGCAGTGAGAATCGGATGCTCGCTCATCCACCTATTAGAGTCTAGTGTTTCGGTTAAGGCGCGTTTTGAGGATGAACGGAAGTCGGCAAACCGGTAGGACATTGGTGGTGTGGTCAATCACTCAGTGCTATCATCCAAATTGTTTAAAAGTGCGGTTTATTTCAAGTCTGTGGTTATTTAGGGGCACGGTTAGTTACAAACAGTGTCGAGCATTGGGATCACCACAATGCGTGGTCAAGTTTGTGTTTTATCGCGGGGCCGCTTATTAGTTACGCCTTAATTGGGTCTACCAGAATGTGGGATAGGACGAAGGCAGAAAATCAAGAACATTTACACATCAGCTCCGCTCACGTACCTACCGTCCGGAACTTGTGGCAACCGACGGTAACCTTACTGACTCGTTCACTGAATATGAACTTTTCATGCCTGGAAAGGTATGAAAGCCTGAAAGTTTGGCTGCATCAGTTACTGAATAAAATCTAGCACAGATCTTAACCTTGTTATCGCCTTCAGTCGGGAACATCAACAATAGGTGTGATAAGGCTTACTCCGATGATACTGGTAAATACTGGACAGTTCGAGCGATTAAAATGATCCATAGTAAGCAACTCCGCATGAATAGGTGTACAATAGTTCACTGATGGGAACACTTTCCCTTTGAGTGGTCCAACCATCTGAAGATCATCACTTCGCGTCCCGTGCGCATAGTCTCGTGCAAAACGTCGTTTTATCTGTCGACACCAAATCCGCATCACCAATACATTCGTACTGCTGCCTTTACCAAACAGAAGGCTTGGCGTTACATGTTGACTCTAATGTCACCATGGAAATTGCCGGTTTTTACAGAAAGGTAGTCTTCTAATGTGTACCACTTACGAAGCATAAGGTTGAGCAGAGTCATTTTTTATAATAGAGCTAACTGCGCTCCCCTGACTCTCCAATGAAGAACAACAGCTCGCCATTCTAATCCATAAAAAGCATTTCCTTTGCCCGTCGAGATGGCAAGCATGATGAACTTCAATACATCCTAAAGAAGGGACCCGATTGTCAAACTGAGTGTAGCGCTGGAAGCCAGTTGTGGATTAACTTCATGTTCATCTGGGGACGTTAGTGACTCTAACTGTTCGCATCATTATTCTTCGCATTTTTCATCTCCCTCCTTTCCTCACACTTGCCTCCACTCAAATTGACTAAGTGTCTCATGAAAGCAAAAGGCTTTGAGATGAAACCTGAGTGTGAAATCTATTTTAACGAGAGAACTTTGATCACCAAAGTCATCGAATTCCAATAATAACTGTATCCCTAGCTTCAGTATAGCGCTTATGAACCTGCGCCCACCAGTGCTTGGCTTGCTTTTTACTACGTTGGAAGCCAAGTCGAAGATAACCTCATTGGGGTCAACCCTCCAGAAGAGAGTTGATTTTTGTCAGAACCATGAGTTATAATTCCAAGGCAGTTTGTTACTCGTCATAAAGAGTATTTTGATTTTTCCTAATGTTCGCTTTATGGCAAAGGTCTCTAATAGCGTGTGTCTTGTTTGGAACATTGATCTTTTTGGTTTCTACTTCAAGCCAACAATCAGATTGTGCATGGGATTCAAGCAGGAGGTAACGTGCTGGCGTTATTCAGCCGTCTGATCAATAATAAGCGAAGACCTTATTTTGGATGAACTCAGTGTTTTAAGCGCATGCTTAGGGATCGAAATATCTGTGGTTCGAAACCGAACCCGGCGTCTTGACTTTGTCCAGGCATAGGCAACCTGACAGAATCCAAGGCATTGTGTGTTTCCTTTGAATGGCTTAGCAGCTATGTATAGGAAGAGCGCTACAGCTATTAATTCTATTACTATTTAATTCGAATGACCAAGTTTCTTGTTGTATTCAGGGGCGGGAAAAGTATGTCGGCCAAACTAGGAGCATTGTTCCAGGCAACAATCTCTGTCAAATTTTACCTTGTCTCATTCTCCGTCCTCCATTTTGTCACTGAATTTCACCTGCAAATTTTTTAACAACGTTTCAGCTCATGAATGAGTGTGTTTATATTTAATTTGCCTCACGTAACCGTGGGTGACAGACGGTTATCACCAGCTCTGCCACCGGATTCCAAACCGTTGAACGAACCTGTTGTCTCAATGAAACCACTTCGTTTGGTCTGTCACTATAAGTACTGTACTTGAAGCCTTCAGACTATTTTCAATTTGTCTGTCACCACTGAAGGTCTTTTCAACCACTTCATTTGACACTTTATTAGGGAAACATTCAAAGATTTTCAAGAACGACGCAATGTTCCAAAGGTAGACATGAAAACTGCCAGATGGCCACAGTTTGTGTAAAAAAAAGCTAGATTCCAGAAAAGGAAATCAAGATACATATAAAATGAGTATCGCTCGACTCGTGTCGCCTGATATTAGACAATCGCTCCTTGAAATTCTTAGATGTAAAGTTTCCAAATACGAAACAAAAGAGAGTAAATGATGTGCTAACAGATCAATGGTAAGCTTCTACACTCATTCAGGCGATCTACTGTTAAGTAAAATAAAGATTTCCGCCCGGGTTTTCAATTTTCATGTGTTGTTTGTCAGTGCACAATTTAAACCTATTTCACAAGGTCTTCTAGTTTTCTAACCCAAGATTCAAAAGCATGGCCGAAAATTTCTGGCACTGATGCAGATGGATGGCTGAGACATCTGTCGAATTTTCACCGACATTTGCTCATCTTTCACCCTTTGCCTCTAGAAATAGTGAAGTCAAAAATGTCGCGTCCCTATACACAATCGCATTTTCGTGACAAATTATCCGACGTCAGATCGCGGTTTTTACGACAATCTCTCCGCTAGGGACGGAAGAAGTGGAACCGTCATTTTCATCTTTTAGAAAATCTGAACAACATAAGAAGCCCAAAAAGCCCACAAGCCCACTGAATCAACCCAGTTCGTTGGGTAGTCGACCACAAGTGATCTATTAGGCAAAATTCTTGGCTGTGAATATTCCGCAGTTTTACAGAATGAGTGGAAGGGAAAAAAGAGGTTGAAAGAGTCCGACCTTCAACCCTTGGAAGACAGTTGCATGGATAGTAACCAGCACACTTGGAGCCTAAAATGTAAAATGAATTTGAAAAGGTAACTTGCAGTCTCCGTGTTCACAATATTTGAAAGAATGGGGAGATAGAGCTCACTAGGATTTACATTCTGTACAATCCAGTGAACAGATATCCGCAAGATGGTAAACGGGTAAACGGTACCAGCAAGAAGCTGTAGATCGCCACGTCCCTGTTAGCGTGATGGCAGGCACAGATAGACGAGCGGTTGTCGTCCTTCTGTTCATTTTCTTTGCTCATCACAGCACAGCAATAGTTTAAAATCTTTTAGCATCAACCGGGTAAAACGTGGTCACAGTCCCTTGACACCAGACAGGGTCCAACTCACTTTGGGATTTTTTAAAATCGAAGCAACATAACTCCCATAATGTGCACTGCAGTATCTAGATCAACTGAGGGATTCCCCTACATATCCGGTTGAAACACTGATATCAGAGTTCATTTTAAAAGGCTACTCACCCCTGATATGCACTGAGTAATCTAAGACTGCGTAATTAGAGGAACAAGCATGTCTCAGTCGGCGTACTTGTTTGACAAGCATTTGGTCGTATGTCTGAGGCGTGCTCTTCGCTATTGCCACTGCTACTTTAAGCGCAGTTTCAGGTACGGAGTTCCACCGACCCATTGCATTTTTGGCACAACCAGAGATAAGCAGTTCACCTGATATGTGCTACACGTTACACGCCTTTTCGTTGAAGTCAAGAGAATAAAAATAAATGGGCTTTATTACTACCCCCGTACGTGCACCTGGGAAAATAAAATGGCCGATATAAGATAATGTGCGCATCTGAATTTGATCTTACACATTGCTGCCACTAAATGTAGGACATTGATGCTTTTAAAACGCTATGCATATTGCTGCATCCTTAACTACGATGGGTTAAACTGAGTAACTGGAGGAAAGCAAGTCTATATATACATGCATATATATATATATATATATATAACCATGTTTAAGGTGACTGGCAGCTGCAGACAGACCTGTTTACGTCCGCCCACCGATCTTAATCCTTCAAGTCCACATAGACGCTACATGTGGTGCATACAGCACCACATTCGACTCTGCATAAACCGTCTGTGACCACCAATATCTACGGAATATTTCCCGCGCTTGGTGGGAACACCAGATCAGTAATGCTGAAGTACATCGGGTGGTTTGCGGGAAAAAACTCATCCATGATAGATGGGCTTATCACACTCCATAGGTTGCGCTGGCTTGGCCACGTGCTCCGTATGCCAGAGTCCCAAAATTAATCAGGA